TATGTTTTCTTCTTATTATTATCAATTTTGTATTAAAGAATAATTTTACAAAGGAAAGAAACATATATGGACATATTTTGTATATAATTATATATAATTATATATGGAACTTTTTTTCCCGGGAAGTCTTTATTTTAATACATAATACACATAATTTTTCTATAATTTTGAATTATATGAATTATGTTAATAAATATAAATTAAGTATAGGGAGCATCCCGTTATTGTAACCACGTTGCGTTTGACCACACAGCCATTTACAGTGGCCGGTGGCGAAAAAGATTTTCCACTACTGTTCAAGCGCTGTGGGAATGGCTGGTGGTCAATCGCAACGTGATCAATCGGGTGCCACCCTTAAGTTATGTATCAAAATAAGTATATGTTTTCATTCATTTGTAACACATACAGGAAAACATTTATTTGCTAACATGAAACTATTACAGATATGCCAAAATGGTGAACGTTATATTCAATCAGGTACTTTTTGTACAATTCTTTGGTAGTGTCTTGATATTATGTACATGTATATATTATCTATCAATGCATATTACGGATTTATCTGGAGTTGCAACTTTGTTAGTATATGCCATTTGCATGTTTGTACAAATTTACCTATACTGTTGGTCCGGAAACGAAGTTATCCTTAAGGTAATTATATATTAATATTCTACTTGATAAACGCGGCAAAGTCTACATTTCTCATAAATAAGAAATATGGATTAGGATAAAAGGCGCAGCATAAGATTCTTTATCCGTATTTAAAATAAAATAAAATGATTTATTCTTGAGAAGACGATTTATGGACATCAATTAATTAATTATTTTTAATAATTTGTTAATTTTTCTATGTGAACTTTTCTCTACAACTCACGGTACAAGCCAGGGAACTCGAAAAAGTGGCCCAAATTCATTTCGTTGGGCTATTCTGAAACTAATTGATTTAAAGTTATTTAAGGTTATTCAAAGGTTTTCGATGTCGCTTTGCTGATAACGAATCTGACACCAAAAATTAAAAATTAAGAATGACTCATTCGCGCGCTAGATGCTCATATACAGATATAATGTATTATGTTGGCAGAGTGTGAGCGTAGGAGACGCTATATATTGTATGGACTGGCCTTTATTATCAATTAATGAAAAAAAAGAATTACTGATGATCATGATACGTAGTACAATGCCTATAAAAATTACCAGCAGCTTCTTGATAACTTTATCTCTTCAATCTTACAGTAACGTTAGTAACCATATTACTTGAACTAAATAAATATTATACTACATAAAAATATTTTGTGTGTGTAACATTAGGATTTAATATTTGTTGCGTACATGCAAAAATACGTCGTTGTTATTTTTAGCAAGTGTTTATAATTATTTATATTAATATCTTTTATAATTTGTTTCAGATTTTAAAAACATCATACTCTGCATTTAACGTTCTTAAAAAATAAAAAATATATGTACATATGATATATAATCAAAAGCGCGGCGTACTTGTGAGCATAACAATTATGTAGTTTTTCGTACATTAGTGACATTATACCTTAAAATTTCCGTTTTCATTTCAACCTTACTCTCTATTCCGATTATACAAATATTGAGACGCGAACGCACAAACATTAAATACACAATACAATATATAATACGTATTTGATTTAATTTATATGCAGCACTGAAGTTTTTGATTTCCATGTTAAAGTCAGAAAAGAATAATTTCCAAGTCTATACTACTTGTGATGTATTACGTGTAAAAAATATATAAGATTAATAAACATAATTTTCCTGCATACTTGTCGTACTACGTAACGCAGTAAGTTGAGAAATATGTATGCCATGTTTATTATACGTCATTTTTATCGCTATGCTGGTCTTGTATTTTTTTATATACGAGTAATAA